TGTGTGTGTGAGAGTGTCTGACCGTCTCGGCTGTGTCTGTCTCTCAGAACGTCTCTGGCCCGCTGGTTTCCTCTGGCTGCTGCCTGATGATACAGACTGACGGCGGTTTGGACACACGGAGACACGCCGAAACCCGTCTCGTAGCACTGAGCCAGACACATGAGAGCCGTGGCGTCCTGCACGTCAACACAGCATCTTCAGACCTCACATCGCTGTCGTTTAAAACATTCAAAGCGTTTGAGTATATGAAGAGGAGAGGCACGTTACCCCGCTCTCAGCCGCCATCCTGAAATAATGAACACACTTCTTCTCATCACAGTCCGGACGCTGAGACAAAACCACACCCAGATACACCTGAGCCTGGAGACAGAGAGACAGAGGAGATTTATTTATATTTATATTATTTTTAATTAGGGATGTAACGATTAACCGCAAGCCGGTTGAAAATCGATTCAAATATGTGACGATTCAAATCGGTTGATGCTAAACAAATCGTGATTCATTTAGGGGTAGGAGTTTATATGAATATATGTCTGAACTTACTGTCTTTAGAAAAGTTCAGATGGTATCTTTTCTTTTCATCTTGCCTCTGTATAACGCATATTAAAGTTCAGAAGTGCAGCGCTGCTTTGTTTACAGCGGAAACTTATTTATTTGATTTGGGGCTTGTTTTAAAATTTCAATTTAGTTTTGTTATTTACATTTACATTATATTTAAATATCATAAATTATTCATTTGTCATTTAGCAGACGATTTTATGTCTTGAAATCAAAATTGTGAATCGAATCATGAGTTGAGTGAATCGTTACATCCCTATTTTTTATATTTTTATATTACTTTTACATTATATTTTATATTGAAGTTATTTTATACATTTAATTTTATATTTAATTTTTTTTATTTTGTTTTATATTTATTTTTTTTATACTTTTATATTTAATTTTTTATATTTATATTTTATATATTTACATATTTAGATTTTTATATTATACTTATTTTTTTCTACATTTGTATTTTCATTATACTGCACGCGGTACCTCAGTGAGTCCGGCGTCTGCGGCCGCCTGCAGGAAGTTGAGCGCCGCTGCTGCATCCGTCTCTGAGCTCTGCTGCCCTCTGCTGTTCAGGAGGAGTTTAGCGCAGCGATACTGAGCCTGACGGTGACCAGCAGCTGCGGCGCGTCTGTAATAATGCACCGCCTGAGAGACAACAGAACATATTAAAGAGAGAAGTAATTATTAGTATTGCTATTACTATTATTTAAATAATACAAATCAAACCAATACACCCATGCAACTTATCTGTTTTTATTTCTTCTCTCAACAATGCAATTTTAATGTGCTGCAAGTTAAATAGAGGTGCAACATTTTTTTCCAGAAAATATGGTATATGAGTGTAAATGTGTATGTATGTATATATAATTTTGTGATAATAGTGATTTTATTATTATTAAAAAAATTTAACTAATCAATAAAGAAATATTTTTAAGATACTGAGCCTGACGGTGACCAGCAGCTGCGGCGCGTCTGTAATAATGCACCGCCTGAGAGACAACAGAACATATTAAAGAGAGAAGTAATTATTAGTATTGCTATTACTATTATTTAAATAATACAAATCAAACCAATACACCCATGCAACTTATCTGTTTTTATTTCTTCTCTCAACAATGCAATTTTAATGTGCTGCAAGTTAAATAGAGGTGCAACATTTTTTTCCAGAAAATATGGTATGAGTGTAAATGTGTATGTATGTATATATAATTTTGCGATAATAGTGATTTTATTATTATTAAAAAAATTAAACTAATCAATAAAGAAATATTTTTAATGCAATAATAGTACTATACTGTCAAATTTAATAAGCATTTAATATATAATAAATATTATTATTATTTATCATTTACTACTGTGCTGTAAAATAAAATGTAAAAAAGTATTTTGTATAACCCCTCCCCCCCAAAAAAAGTATTTAATAATAATAAAAAATAAATTAATTTTAATTTGTAAATTTTATTTGATTTTACAGAACTAGTTTTATTTGTCAGAACAACAGTGAATACAAATATTGACGTCTGTAAAAATTTCTTTAATTTAAAATATTAAAACAGCTTTTATTTTGGCATTTTTTTGTTGGTGAGATTTATAAACGATTCTCAATAAAAGTTTGGGAACATTAGTGCATGTGTTACGAATGTACTTTAAAACAGAGCAATTTTTCATATTTCTCAGGTTGGAATATACAGATATCTGTAAGCAAAATACAGATAAAATGCCTTTTAATTCTACTTTTATTTTTGTTATTACTTTATCTTAAGCTCTTTTAAATTATGTACCCGATTTTGCAAGTCATTTTTTTTTTATCATCTGAAACATGTTGCAACTAATTTTCCAAAGCAAGTTATTGTATGTAATTACCATCAAGCATGCAAACATGCAAATATTTTCAAACACGCAAAATGCACGCAACCATATAACTCAGGGAGAATCCCAGCACCTTGCTGAGGTCCGTCTGCGCTCCTCGTCCCTTCTCGTAACAAACTCCCAGGTTAAACTGAGCTTTGCTGTAGTCGTGCTGCGCCGAGGCCATAAAACAGGAGAAGGCCATCTCGTAGGCGCCCGCTCTCGCGCTCTCCAGACCTGAAACACGCGAGAACTCGTTCAGACGCACGTTCACATCACGCAGCGGCGCTCTGAGTGCGTGAGCTGGTCGTTACCGATGATGTTGAGGATTACGGGAATGCTGGCGTCTGCCACGCTTCGCAAATTCTGCGCTGCTGCATCGAGAGAAACACCTTCCTGCAGGAAACATACACATCAAACTAATTTACATCTATTTGCATAGTGGTCTATACAATACAGACTGTTTCACAGCAGTTGCACAGTAATACACAGGAAAATAAAACTGTTAATGTTGCAAAATCTGTCTTAAGTTATGAAACAAATTAAACTTTAGCTGTAAATCAGCTCTACAGAAGACAACAGTGTCTTTACTCAGTATTTCTGTCTTGTTTTCCCTAACAAATATCTAAACATTCTTAATAAAGATACATTTACCTGAGCAGCAAAATTACTTCTGGCTTTCTGAAAAATGCATCAAAATGAAATTAGTTTATGCTTAAAACAAGAGAAAAAAATATCCGACAGTGTCGTCAGAAAATAAACTTAATTCTTGTTTTCTGGAAAATGTATGAAAACTGAGTAAGTTTTTGCTTAAAACAAGAAAAACAAACTTAAAAGAGAAAACAAGATTATTTTTCTGACCCCATTGATTTTAAGCAAAACCTTGATCGATTTTATAGAAAACAAGACAAAAATATTAAGTAATGAATCATTTTTTGCAATCTATTCAGCTTAATTTACTCAATGTTGATTCAGTTCAGTTCAATAACAGTGTAAATGCTGCAAAACTCACTAATTATTAAACTAATTCAGCTCTACAAAAGACAATAGTCAGATCAATTCAGTTCAATTTTGATTCAAATACGAGGACAAACTGTGTTTTTCGGTCTAAATTGTTACCTCTGGTTTCAGTTGTTCAGGAAAAAGAGTTTCATCTGTAAGAAAATCAAGAATCAAGAGTCAACACTTCACATCTATACTGTATGAATCTGCAATTGCATTTTTTACTGTATTTATTTCAACTATAGTCAAATACAATGCAAAAAGAACAAGGCACAGTACAGTTCAGAATGTGTGAAGTACAGAATAAGAACAACAACAAAACTAGATAAAAAAAGTTTGTCAAGACAAAGTTTAGGTTGGCTTGAGAAAGCCTAGCCTGAAAGTTTAAAGCAGTTGTAAAAGCCGGAAGTTTGAAAATTTAGATAGATTAGATAGACGTTGATAACATGTTTCTAGCATGATCAGCATGTTTTAACATGATTGGCCTGTTACTAGCATATTGCTGGCATGATCAGCATGTTGCTAGCATGATTAGCAAGTAACTAGCATGTTGCTAGCATGATTAGCAAGTTTCAAACATGTTGCTAGCATGATTACAAGTAACTAGCATGCTGCTAGCATGACTAGCAAAGTGACTAGCATGTTGCTAGCATGATTAACAAAGTTACTAACATGTCATTAACATTTGAATAGCATGATTAACATGTTAATAGCATGTTGCTAGCATGATTAGCAAGTAACTAGCATGTTGCTAGCATGATTAACAAGTTACTAGCATGTCACTACCATGTTTCTAGCCTGATTAACGTTACTAGCATGTTACCAGCATAATTAGCATGCTACTAGCATGTTGCTAGAATGATTAGCAAATGACTAACATGTTGTTAACATGATTAGCAAGTTACTAGCATGTCGCTATCATGATTAGCATGTTACTAGCATGTTGCTTGCATGATTAGCAAGTAACTAGCATGTTGCTAGCATGATTATCATGCTACTTAGCATGATTAGCAAGTTACTAGCATGTCGCTAGCATGTTTCTAGCATGCTGCTAGCATGATTAGCATGTTGTTAGTATGTTTCTAGCATGATTAGCATGTCGCTAGGATAGATAGATAGATATAAATAGTCAGATGATAGATAGATAGATTAGAAATATTAGATAGATGAGTTTGAATGAGTTTAAATTGATAAGAAATAGTACATAGAAGGGAAGCTTCTCAAGGCAACCTAATGATGTTCTTAATTTTTTACCTCACAATGTACAGTGCCCTTCAAAGTTTGGAAACATCCCAGGAGAAGTGGGGTTTTGAAGAATGTCAGCATATATTTTTCATAATTTTGTGATGACTTTGAGTTGACTAGGTACCAATACTCTTATACCTTTTGTTCTTTAATATTTTGAATTGTTTTTAGCTTTATTTTTTGTTTTTCATTTAAATGTTGTTTTGAAATTTTGTATGCATTTGTCATTTTTATTTAATCTCTTTATTTTTAAAATGTGTATAGGTATAGTATTTATAAAGTTGTAGTTTTGGATCTGTTTTTAGTTGTTTTAATACTACAATTGATTGCTTCTGGTGTCCTCATTTGTAAGTCGCTTTAGATAAAAGCGTCTAATAAATGACTAAATAAATAAATGTTGCTAACATGATTAACAAGTTACTAGCTTGTCGCTATTATGTTGTTAGCATGATTACAAAATGACTAGCATGTTGCTAGCATGATTAGCAAGTTACTAGCATGTTGCTAGCATGACTAGCATGTCGCTATCATGTTGTTAACATGATTAACAAGTAACTAGCATGTTGCTCGCATGATTAGCAAGTTACTAGCATGTCGTTAACATGTTTCTAGCATGATTAGCATATTTGTAGCATGTTGCTAGCATGATTAGCAAGTAACTAGCATGTTTGCTAGCATGATTAGCATGTTACTAGCATGTTGCTAGCATGTTTCTAGCATGATTAGCAAGTGACTAGCATGTTGCTAGCATGATTAACAAGTTACTAGCATGTCACTACCATGTTTCTACCATGATTAACAAGTTACTAGCATGTCGTTAACATGTTTCTAGTATGATTAACATGTTACTAGCATGTTGCTAGTATGATTAACAAGTAACTAGCATTTTGCTAGCATGATTAGCAAGTTTCTAGTATTTTGCTAGCATTATTAACAAGTAACTTGCATGTTGCTAGTTGATTAGCAAGTGACTAGCATGTTGCTAGCATGATTAACAAGTTACTAGCATGTCACTACCATGTTTCTACCATGATTAGCAAGTTACTAGCATGTCGTTAACATGTTTCTAGTATGATTAACATGTTACTAGCATGTTGCTAATATGATTAGCAAGTAACTTGCATGTTGCTAGTTGACTAGCAAGTGCCTAGCATGTTGTTAGCATGATCAACAAGTTACTAGCATGTCACTAACATGTTTCTAGCCTGATTAGCATATGATACTAGCATGTTGCTAGCATGATTAGCATGCTACTAGCATGTTGCTAACATGATTAGCAAGTTACTAACATGTCGCTAGCATTTTTCTAGCATGATTAACATGTTAATAGCATGTTTGGCTAGCATAAATAGCAAGTAACTAGCATGTTGCTCGCATGATTAGCATGTTACTAGCATGTCACTACCATGTTTCTAGCATGATTAGCAAGTGACTAGCATGTTGCTAGCATGATTGGCAAGTTACTAGCATGTTTGTTTCTTTCCCAAGCCAACCTAATTATAAAGTGCACATACATGTAAAAATTAATAAAAAATAAAATAAAAAGTACTATCTAATACGTGTACAGCATGTTGGTTTTTCTGACCGCAGTGTGACGCGGCGCTCTCCGGCTCCTCCTGCTGGTCATCAGAGCTGTGCGCCGTCTGCAGGTCAGAGGTCACGTCTCCATCACCGTTACCATGACTACGGTCACTGGAGCCGCTGTCTGGGGTCTGCAGGCATTTCACCGTCACACCGCCGGATAAAGCATTCGGCCGGGACACTGAGAGACACATTAGTGTACAGAGTTAAACAAACCGCTTATTATTTTATTATTGTTATTACTTTATTTTAATCTAGATTTTATTTATTTAAATGACATACCATACCATATTTTCTGATATAAGTCATATTTCTCTTATCATCTGAACCATGCTGTAACTTTTATATTCCAAAGCGACTCCTATAATGCAATTAACATCAAGCATGCAAATATGCTCACAGTTTTAGCATTACTAACTTCACATCACAAACTATTCATCATCAAACTAAACTGCAGTCATGCAAACATTAAAAGGTTACACGAATCAATTTAAATGGTCTGTTGCACATTTTGTGAAATGAGTGAAATACACAGCCAAGTTTACATAACAAATTATAGCAAATATTAATTAGTAATAATTAGTTTATCAAATAGTTAGTTAAATTTGGTCAAATTTCTTTTTTCATTTCTTATTTAAACTTTTATTTTTCTGGATATCTGGATTTTAAATTATGCATATGCATGTAAATGTTACAAATGTTTTGGCAATAATACATTTTTATTGACTGATCTCTGATGGCTGAAATGTTTATTTTCATTTCTACTTTATTATTAGTAGTATTAGTAGTAGTGGTAGTAGGAATAGTATTTATTTGTAAATGTTACTAATGCTTTCTCAATAATATTAAAAATACGTCAGTAAAACTACTCAATTCTGACTGATCTCTGATTGGGCAACATTTCATTATTATTATTACTATTATATTTTAATCTAATTTAAATATTGTATACGCACGTAAAAGTTACTAAAGTTAACTAAAAGTTCATTATTTTTAATATCTCAATAAAACTACTAAATCTAGACGAGAGCCACCTGTGTTGGCCTAACTGGTCAAATTCTGTTTTTACTTTATTATTTTATTTTAATCTGGATGTTTTACTTAAATGATGTATATGCATGTAAATGTTACTAATGATAATTATTTATAATATGTGTCCCTGGAGCACAAAAGCATTCTTACGTCGCTGGGGTATATTTATAGCAATAGCCAAAAATACATTGTATGGGTCAAAATTATAGATTTCTCTTTTATGCCAAAAATCATTAGGATATTAAGTAAAGATCATGTTCCGTGAAGATATTTTGTAAATTTCCTACCGTAAATATATCAAAACTTAATTTTTGATTAGTAATATGCATTGCTAAGAACTTCATTTGGACAACTTTAAAGATGATTTTCTCAATATTTAGATTTTTTTGCACCCTCAGATTCCAGATTTTCAAATAGTTGTATCTCGGCCAAATATTGTCCGATCCTAACAAACCATACATCAATGGAGAGCTTATTTATTCAGCTTTCAGATGATGTATAAATCTCAATTTCGAGAAATTGACATTTAAGACTGGTTTTGTGGTCCAGGGTCACAGATGTCAATAAAACAGCTTAATCTGAGCAAGAGACACCTGTGTTGGCCTGACTGATCTCTGATTGGTTGAAATGTTGTATGATTGACAGCAGGACTCACAGATCTCAATCAGGACTTTGTAGGAGCATTTCTGTATCCGGGCCGGTCCAGGGTTCTGATCCGCGTGCGAGGACAGCCGAGAGTGAATCCTGCGGCAGAGCTGCATGAAGAGAACCGCAGCGGCACCCTGCACACACACACACGCACAAACACACACACGCACAAAAACACACACGCACACATACACACACACACACACACACACACACACACACACACACACACACACACAAACACACACACAAACACACAAACACACACACACACCAGTTAATAAAACACACCGCAGTGATGACATATGAAAAACAGTAGAGTTATAAGTGAACTACCCATCCCACTGCATCGAGTGCGGTGTATCTCGGCAGACCAGTGTAGAAGAACTGAGATGTTCGCTTCTTTTTCTGATCGTGAGAACCGTGAGAACTGAGGGACAGAGGGACAGTTAGTTCATCTCAGTGGTTTCAGGGTCATGGATCTCGCGTGCGGTCCGGTACCTGCTGCTGTCAGACGCGTGTCGTCCGCTGCTCAGGATGGAGGAGTTGAGGACCTCGTCCTCCACGTGATGACCCTGTGAGAGCCGCAGCGGAGCGTTTCCATGGCAACGGCTCACCACTGCGGGTCAGGAGCAAAACACATGTGAGCTTTCAGAGGTTCGGTGTTTACGAACCGACAAATGCAACGTCTGCTGTGGAAATGCACAAGGGAGATCTGCAGTGATTTGAGATCTAAAGGAGCGTTCACACTAGGGGTGTAACGGTATTCGTACCGAACGTCTCATGTAGTCTCATGTAATCGCTCAATCAGTGTTTCAAAAGCGGAAAGACGTCAATAAGTCAAGACATCAGTGTCTACAGCTCATTAGTTCGCTATAAATGAAGTCTAGAGAAGATCATTTCGCGAAATATTGGACTATATACTCATTATATTTTACTTTACCTGTTAGTGATGTCTTAATTATTTAATGTATGTTTAAATAAATCTGTTATGAAACAAGTTATGACAGCCACTGTGTAAATGATTATATTTCAACAGCAAATAGACATTTTATAATTAGATTTAGAAGGTAATTTAAGAACTGCATTATGTGAAATTCAAATGTTTCCATACAATTTTTTAAATTTGAGTATTGATTATTATATTTAAAAATAAATAGTAATTGAATTTAAGTTTGTAACCATATAGTAATGTAAAATGACTCGCTATAGTTTAGAGCATAAGCTGAGGTAGATTTTTATCCCTAATAAAATTTTTAACTATAATTGGATTTATTTATTTATTTAAAGAAAGAGGATTTTGTTCAGTAAACAGCTGTTTAATATAAAAAAAGCAATTTTATGCTTTTAATACGCCATACCGAACGGTGACGTTAAAACCGAGGTACGTACCGAACCATCATGCTTGTGTACCGTTAGTTCACACCAAGAACGATAATGCTAACTATATTAGCCTCCACACCAAAAAACGACAAGTATAACTATAACAATAACTATATTAGCATCCACACAAACGGACGATAAAATTCTGTTTATTATAAGCGATGCAGTTTTGTCGATAGAATCGTTCACACCAACAACAATAACTACGCTGTAAATTTCAATTTGTTAACTTTACTTCAAAAAACCTTGCAAACTTACTGCCTCAGAAAAACCAGTTAAGGTTACTTAGCATATTAACGTTTTCATAAATTAGCTTCTGAGTAAACATGAACACATTGAGCAACCATAACGAGATTTTTTTTTTTTTGAGATTTTTTTCAAGTAACTTTAACATATTGAAATTTACAGCGTATAAATGTATTTTTATTTAATTTATAAATGTATTTAAGCTTTAAAAATCGTTCTAATTCCACGAGTCCGCAACTATAACGATAACACTGGAATCGTTTTCAGAATGTTTTTTTTTTCGCGCTGGTGATGAACGATAAAAACATCGACAAACAATCAGAATCCACCTGACTATAAAGCGTGGCAAACATGTAACTGAAGCGCGCTTATAACGAACAGGACGTTTTGGTCAGTTTGTGTGGATTCTGATTAGACTTGTGCCGGTATTCGGTGCAACTGGTCAAAATGCACAACACCGCTGTATGTTGCGTGAAAGACGCCTGCGCACTCTGATGTAAACAAGCGCTGACGAGAAGCACATGACGAGACGCTCTGGATAAAAGCGCACTTTCACCCCACTTCAGCAGTGATACCTATTGGTCTTTATAGTTCTTTTCCACTTTAATCTGTGTAAAACTTTTAGCTTTATACATTTTTCTGTATTGCTTTATTGCATTTAAAATGTTCAGTTATTTTTGTTATAAGAAAAAAGTTATTAAACCTGTTATACTGTATTATGACAGCACTTTTTTTAAACTAAATTTCAATACCGTGATAATACTGTATACCGTGATAAAAGCATTAGCAATTAATCGCAACATGAAAATCTGATACCGGCATATCCCTAATTCTGATACAATTATTGTTATAGTTATGTTTATAGTTGTCGTTGTTGGTGTGGACGCTAATTTAGTTACCGTTATAGTTACCTTATAGATATCGTTCAACGGGCCTTATAACGCATGACAAGTGCGAACGGTTTTGTCGTTTGCAGCCTTAAAGTGTAGTTGAGGTGTTGAATTCACTATTTTAACAGAATTAACGCGCTTTTTAGCACACAATAACGTTCTGTTTTTATAAGCGCCGCTACAAATAATCGCGCTCTTTGAAGTTTGGTGGATTCTGATTGGTTGTCCATGTTGTTGTTTTTTTTTAAACGTTCTAAAAGTTATGGCCATAATAGCTGTGGTGTGTATTGAACTATTTTCATAGAATTAGAACGATTATTAAAACGTCACAGTGTAGTTATCGTTAGGTATCCTTATATTATTTATTGATTTGTTTGTTTGTGTGGGTGTGTGTTTGTTTTCCGTTTTCTGTTGATTTTAATGCACTTTGCAGCTGAAACCGAAACTATCCTCAAACTTATTAAAATATGTGTTTTATTCAGATATTCAACTAAAGTCCTGCTCCTCTTAATGATACTTGTCACACAGTCGCATGCAGTGAAACATCGCAACAATGTATCACTGTATTAATGTATCGTATCAATGTATCAGTTTGGATGTAACAGTGTATCAATGTGTCGCAGCTCGTGGGTGTTTCATAATCGCTCACCTCTGCCCACCAAATTCTGAATCCTCCACATGTCTGCTGTTGTTTCTGTGAGTTTATGAAGATCAATAAACTCACGCCATGATGCTGACAGTCACGAGTTACAGCAGCGGCTCGGTGAAGGACGAACGGCGGAAATGACGCAATCCCCCCAAAACATAAACTACAGTCTGCGGTTGATTCTCCCGCCGCCAGAGGCCGCTGCTCGCCGGTACAGTTACAGTCGCAGTGTGCAGGGCGCTTCTGTTTGTAATATTTTGACTAAATTCATTCGTTATTATTTTAATTATTATTATTAATAATTATGCATATATTTTTATTATATTTATATATTTTATATGTATTTATGTATTTATTAATTATAATAAAATGTGCATGTTTATTTAGAATCAGATTTTGATTTGCATTATATTATGTTGTACATTTTCTTTGTTTTAATAAAACATATTGACTATTATGTTGTTTACCTGTTGATTCAGTTCAAATGTGTTTTGTTTAACAGAATCTAATAAGCTATGGGAAAGAAACTTTATTTCATGATTTTGTATTATTATAATCAATTTCATTTTTTTTATTAAAATATCATTTTTATTTAATGGGGGGCCTGTAGGGTCTGTAATGAGCAGCCTGAAGACAAACCTGTTCTGTGTTTGTGCTAAAACTGAAGCTGGTTTTCTGCTGGTTTTGCATGAGGGAGGATCGAAGCCTTTACAGCGTCACTGTGGCTTGTCCTCGGGTTCTTCTTTTATCTTCATGAATGTCATAAAAGCAGATCGAGCGAGAGCACAGCTCTCCATTCGCTCATAGACATGATGTGGTCAGTGATGGGAAACGCTCCTCTGAACCCAGATGTTCTTCACTCTATAACAGGAGATCCGTGTTGAGAAACCACTGTGACGTGTGGAAGGGCTTTTCTCCTGTAAGGTCACCGGAGGTCATACGGCATAGAGTGCAGAATGATAAAATGAATGTAGAGTAGCTCTGATCTTAAGATGAGAAACGTTTGAGTTCATATTGAGTGTTCTGAGTGAGTATCTTAGCAAATCTGTGCAGTCGATGACATTGTTGAGATCTCTTCTGAATCTCCACATGTCTGATCACTGCAGGAGAAGCATTTCATCATATCCTCATTTAATTGCATGCAGTCTAGGAGAAACAACTGAGATATCAAAGAGATCTTACAGGAAGTGCTTGTGGCCTGTTGCAGCCACATGTTTACAGTGAGCTACAGGACTCTTCTTTTCCTCGCTACAAACAGCATTATCAGTAGCAGCAAGATGTGCACTCAAGTTTAAATAAATAATAAAAAATAGAAATAAGATTAGTAGATTAGTAGAAATAAAATAGCTAAATGAAAATAATAAAGTGCTAAAAGTTCTAAATTTACTAACACTAAAACTGAAATAAAATAAAGCTATATTGAAAAAAAAAAACATAAAAAATGACCAACTTAAAAAAGTTTAAACAAAATTAGATATTTTGCCTGGGCAACTAACTTAAATTTAAACTGAAGTGCTAAAATTACTATTAAAACTGATATAAAAATATAGAAATATATATTAAAATCAAAACTATAAAAATGGCAAAAGCACATAACAAAATTATTAAAACTATACCGAAAAGCTAAAATTACTAAAAGCTAAATACAAATATTAAGAAATAATAAAAAATGATTAAACTATAAACTAAACTAATAAAAAGTTAAATTACTAAAATTAACTAAAAATTACTAAAACTTAAAATTGTTTCCAATAATTGAAATTAGCCTAAAATAAAAGATAAATATTAGATTAAAAACGTCAACTTAAAAAAACGTTAAAATTTTTTAGAAATTTTGCGAATATTTTAAAACAATGGTATTGAAATTAAGCTAAAATTAAACATAACGAAAAACAAACTTAAAAACGTTTGCCTTGCAACTAACTAAAATAAAATAAAGTGATGTAGAAATATAATAATAATAATACAATTATAAAAACCTAATAAAAATAGCAAAACCACATAACAAAATATCCATTTGCATCTATAGCATCTGGAAAAAGCGTAAATGTAGATGTAACTGCATATGTTTCTTGAATCATTCTCTGTTCATTGTTCATAAACACATTTTGTTGTGTGTTTGTGAATGAGATGAAGGATGCTTTGGGACAGTTTCCTCTCTCTCTCTCTCTCTCTCTCTCTCTCTCTCTCTCTCTCTCTGTTAATGCAATATGTTGAGGGAATAATGCGGTCAGGGGACCAACGGGGACAGAGAGACAGAGAGAGAGAGAGATCTCATCCAGCTGCTCCAGACCAGACCATCGTCTTCATCGCAGATCCGCTCTCTCCTTCTGCGGTCGGAGATACACAGTCCAGCAGCTTGAAGAGTTTATCCGCGGTTTAATGAGGCTCCGTGGCTCCGCGGAGAGCCGGAAGGAAACGGGAGAGGAGGGGCAGGAGGCGCGGGGAGGCCGCGGAGGGGCTCCGGAGATGCCGAGGGGGGCAGAGACGGAGAAACCGAGAGAGAGAGAGATGGCGGCGGGAGGAATCACCACGCTCCCGGCCTCACCGGACGACGGGGCGAGCGGAGGCTTTCCTTCGGGGAGCTTCAAGGAGCCCAAGCGGCTGTACTGCAAAAACGGCGGATACTTCCTGCGGATCAACTCTGACGGCCGGGTGGACGGGATCCGCGAGAAGAGCGACCCGCACAGTGAGTGCGTTTGTTCTGTTCTTCCGTGGAAAAACAGACGATCTAGAGCGTACAAAGACCCTTTACGCGTCTGATGCGGAGCAGAGATGAAAATCAGGCCCTGATGATGATGATGATGATGATGACAGATTTTACAGGTCCAACTTCAGTCTCTGAGTTCTTGGCTATTTTCAGAAACCGCCTCTAATGTAATCTGGACTTTTAACCATCATAATGCATTCAAAACCTGAATACGTTTCGCATTCAGGGTCTGTTTGGGGCCAGTCATAACTTAGTATATATAAACTAAAACCATATTGTAGCTAAATGTGAAAAAATGCAAAGTTTTGAATGTTGCCATGTCATTAATGCATTTACGCCTATTTTATAAAATTCAACATTTAGAAATTCTAAATTAAATTTAAAAACTATGATGCAAAAACAAAATTTTTTTTTTCCAATGTTTAAGAGAAGTTGTTTTTTTAAATATACCATTGTATTAAATTTATAATAACATATAATCTGTGAATTACCAGTATGAACCTCATTGGAATGAATGGAATTTAATTAAATTCCTTTGAATTTATAACTCACGATTGCTCAAAAACAGTCCAAATGTATGAAACCTACATAGTTATTTCTAACAAAACAACAAATATTACTCTGAAAAGTTTTTAAGCTAAATAAAGTAATTTTAATTGTATAAACATTCACTTTAAGATGAAAAAAGTGATCAGTTTTTCATGCCGCAGTGGTTCTTCAATAGACGTAACATATTCATGTTTATCAACAAAATTCAGCCCAAAAGTGTGTGCGATATGGAGAAAGGCGAAAAATATTTTATTAAAGCTTTTTGACGCTAATATAACCCCATAGATATAAAAAGTATTTTTGACACCTAACAGTGCTCCATATACATACTTGGGTCCAAAATGACCTGAAAGCAAAACGTGTAATGTTTTTTAATATGGCTATATCTCTTAAAAAAAAAAAAATGAACAAACGTAGTTCAAGAGTTCAAGTATTACATCATGTTTTTATAAAGTTTGTTATAAAAACTGGTGAGTGTGTGTAAATGAAGAGTAAATGGTCTCCTTATTCCAAGTTCAGTTTAGTCCAAATAGAAACTGAAACAATGATCACTTTAGTTTAGACTCATGGTCAGGGTTAAAAATCCTGTTGCTAAGGGCAACCACTGAGTGACACTTCACAAACCCCGCCCACCTCACGCTTCATTTATTCTGACCTGGACCTCCGTGTTTGTCATTCTTTACATAGTTTGCATCATTTCTGAGAATAATCAGCAAGATTTGTTACTGATGAAACCCTTGCTGGTAACCATTTACAATAAGGTCCCATTAGTTAATGCATTAACTAACAATGAGCAATGCATTAGTTACAGTATTTATTAATCTTTGTTAGCTTTTATCAAAAATACAACTGTTCGCTGTTAGTTCATGTCAGCTCAGGTCCAATTATTGATGCAACTTTTGATTTTAATAGTGTGTACTAAATATTGAACAAACGTTTCATAAGTATGTTTCATAGTTCAGTTTAATTCATGTCAACAAATGGAACCTTATTGTAAAGTGTTACTCATTTATTTCCTCTGGAACACTTTAACACAGACTTCCATTGCAAATATGATGCCTATAAATTATTTTCTTTATTTAAATGTCATTTTAGACAAATGTTTTCAAATGGAAGCTTAGGACAAATTTGTACTCAAAATATGGTGAAGTAGGTGTTTTGTTGAGCGTGTGTCTGTCTCTCATGGCATTAGTCAGCGCTCTTGTAGACATGAACACTATATTTATGCTCCAGAATGAATGACGCCACTCATCAGCTAACAACAAACTCATTAATCACACACACTTGTCTTGTGTCTCCTTAAAAAGAACCTCAGCATGATCTGAGCATCTCTGCTTTAATCTGATCCCAATACAAACATCCAAACAACCGGTACTTTTTAGAAAATCATATATGAAAGCTATTTAATCTTTAAAGAACCATAAAGCAACTCATGCAGACAAATACAAAGATAGTTCTTGATATGAAGAGTTATCTAGTATCTATCCATCCATCTATCTCACTGAGTGAAAACTCATGTTATAATAATAATAATAATAATAATAATAATCATACAAATCTGTCTGTATTGCACATTGAATCTCTTATTTATGTTGTGTTTATACTTTGTTGATCATAGCGCAACTACTACTAGCGAGCGCAGAGCACGTGCTAAACAAAAGGAGTGTCCCAAATCGCGTAGGCTACTTATGCACTATTTTATGACGTTTTGTAGTATAAATAGTGCGAGTAGTGCTTTCACACGGAAAATTCCAAAAAGAAAAAGTGCACTTAAAGGCACAATATGTAAGATTTTTTTATTAAAATATCCAAAACTTGTGTGCTTACATTATCCCAAATGTTTCGAAGAATGTTTAAATCCAGAGAAATAAGCAATTTTAACTAGTGGCACGGAGCGTGTCCATAGTGTCGCCTGCCAATGATGTCATAACCCCTCGATTTCTGGTTTTGTAGGAAACATGGAAACACTAAAGACGCTTTAATATGTTGTGCGTTTTAATAGACTGGAGCTCGTCCATGAACATGATTTCTGCCCAAGTCCCGTCGGATTGCATCGGCTGTGGGGATGAAGACGACAACTCCCATGATTCCACACTCAGTCACGGCGTCATCAAACTACGCCTTTGTCTATTTGTTTATTTTGAATACGTGCCCTCTAGTGGCGAAAACTTACATATTGTGCCTTTAAAAACGAATGCTGCGTCCGAAATCGCATACTGCCCTACTAAATAGTATGCGAAAAACAGTATGTGAGGCTAGTAGAATGTCCGAATTCAAAGTATTCGAAAAACAGTAAGCGAAAAGTCCCCGGATGACCCACTTCTTCCGCCTGGATTCTGAAGTGTGCATTCGACGGACACTTTACTATCCCATGAGGCCATGGGAGAGGATTTATGAACGGCAGTGAAGCGACGCAACTGACGCTGGTAGGTCACGTGACAGTAACAACATGGCGGATGTAGTACGTCCGAATTTCATTCATACTACCCACATTCATACTATATAGAACGTACTATTTTAACGGTTGTGAAGTAAATACAAATTCAAATGCAGTACCTACTCAGTACGCGATTTCGGATGCACTGGAAGTGTCGAATGTTGGACACTTCATGTGCTGCGTCCCAATTCGTATGCTATCCGACCCTAAATAGTATTCGAAAATAGAATTAGTATGTCCCAAATCATAGTATGTTTAAAAAAGTATGCCAAAGATTCCCGGATGGTCTACTGCTTCCGGTTAGAATTCGAAGTGCAGATTGATGCACACTCTTAACGGCTAATATTGCCCACAACACATTGCGTGGTGGACGAGGATTCGATTAGAACTACAAACATAAAAAGTGTTAAAACTACAAACATGGTGGATATGCACAACTGGTAGAGAAAGGGATTTGAGTGATAAATAATCAATGTCTAACCTGATGAAAAATATTAATTTAATGTTATCCACGTTATATTTCATCTGCAGCAGCACTGTGAGCTTTTATAATGATACGTGGTCATTAACTTTAAAATGCATCATTATGCAAGCATATGAGCAGAGTTCTCAGCATGATAGACCCACGACTAGCAGATCAACGTGCCTCTTCTTTTCTCTCCAATACGGTAGGAAATCAAATTAAACTAAATGTGGATGATGTTAACTGTGACAAGATGATTGACAGGGCAGTTTAAACAGTCACAGAATGCACATAACTAAGCAACTGAGCGTCCGTTAAAGAAGCAGCTATGACAAAGTAGTATGTCCCAAAGCTTGCATACTTTTCTGCTACACACTCAAAAGTATGTACTTTTTCTTCACAAAAAGAGTACATACCTTTAGGGCATAGTATAAGTAGGTGAATTGGGATGCAGCAAGTCTCTTCTTCTTCTTCTTCTTCTTCTTCTTCTTCTTTAATGGTGGGTGGCAACTACCTTTTA